AATTACTGTTTCTTTCGATACAGAGAAGAAGAATTGTCTTCATTATTCGTTACATTTGTTCTTTCTCGACCTACATTTTCCTCCATATTCCAAAGAAAAATTCCCCCCAAAATAATTCATTTTACTGTTTTAATTATTTTTCAACCGACAAAATTAGCAGCAGGAGAAAATAATTCTTGGCTTTTTCGCCTTTTTGATATCGACTACAATACTCCCTCCATCCTTTAAATCTAACGATCTGAGCCGTTGGATTTTGTGCCATGATTCAGATCCAATGATCCGGGCCGTACATTCCGCTTTGCTTTTGTTGCATACAGTCATGGACTCATGAGTCAACTTTATTACGTAGATACACAGTTGACTCTGTTTAGGGTAAATTGACTATTTGACCTCCGACAATGCGTTACGCAGTACGTACGTCGGAACTGTCTGAATAGGGTCAGTTTTGTCAATTTAGAATTCTGTCGAAGATACCTCTCTCTCTAACGGTGTCTCCTGTATAGCCACTTTTATTGAGCAATGTAGTGTAGGTACTATTATAGCATTGTGTGTGCATTCTCCAATGATTAAATTTAAAACATTTACTATGATAGCAATCATTAGTTTTCTCTATATTCTCAAAATTTTGATTTATATGTTTCTAATGAATTTCCAAATCTTTTAGATCTGACGAAGTCGAATGGAACAAACACGCGGTGACGAATCCAGATGAAGTAGCTGACGAAGTTTTCGCTTTGGCTGAAATGTAAGTACGTATTTCACGTAGTTTTGTTATTTCTTGAAAATTATCATGTGAAAATCCATAAGCAGTGGGAAGGAAAAGTCATAAAGTACAATATTGGGTATGGTCCTATAATACAAGTCCTAACTATTAATCATTAACACTTGTGTTGTGACTTTTGTTTCATTCTATTCGTAGATCAAGATCCATATTCAAAAGCTGTCACATTTATTTCTTCTCTAACCAACTTAATTCAATTTTTTTTGCGTTACTATATTATATCTGATCTATGTATCCCCATGTTCACACCATTATAACTATGACAAAAGTAGTGTTTGCGATTTAATTTATTCTTGCTACTAGTGAGAACTACTCCCGTGAACATTTGCCATTAATTATTTCTGTCAGGATAATTTCTTGAAGCAAGATTTATATATTTTTTCATCAAAGAAGATATTTATTGTGCTTTTTCCCCCTTTTATGTCTTTCCATTTTTTTAATCTCTCTCTCTGAAAAAAGTATACATATTAATATCACCTACTACATGTTTCATGCATATTTGAAAAGGTATTTTCATTCTATTCTTTCTCTATATAGTATTTTATTAAATTTCAAAACTATTAATAAGAATACTTATTTTTCTCTACTTTCGTTTTCAACTTTTGTTGAACTAATACTTCGCCAGCAGACAGTTTTCACCGCAAACACCACATGCACCAATGCTAGACAGATCCGTGCCCAAAAGCATTATTGCATACTGTATATACGTACGTTTTTATATCAAAAGAATCATGTCCTCCCTTAAAATTAATTATCCTTCACATTACTACCAACCATATGTAGACGGCTGAGTACATACTGCGAATTCGTTATATTTACTTTCAGAATACGTACAATGAAAATGGTTTTATTAGTTTATTATCCATATATTTTTCAAGGTGTTGTTGATATTTGATAAGAATTTTTTATTAAATCAATTTGGACAGTACCCATGTGGTCGTAACAGAACCATTTACGCTTTATACGGTCAAAATCCAATAAGATCCTAAAACGGTATCCGTTAAAACGGACGGACTTGATCGTCGATATCAAACGGTGATTATTTGTTTGTCCTTATTTAACGGTTACCTCTAACGTCGTTTGCCTCAAGCATCTTAGCCAGAGAACCTAATCTCACCGACACACGACTATGAAAAAGTTCTAAAAATATATAAGTATTTATCATCAACCATGTGCACATGTTCTGATGTGATTTTGATTTTTCTAAATTATTAATTTTATGTTTTTGGGGTTAGATCCGATCCGGCTAAGAATAATAAAATGAATCACAATCTAAACTAAACCGGGTATGGTTTTACAGGAGTGTAAGAAACCATACCGAGAGGAGGAAGCTGGGCTACTTTACTTGCGGAACAGGCAACCCAATCGATGACTGTTGGCGATGCGATCGCAATTGGCACAAGAACCGCAAACGCCTAGCGGATTGCGGGATCGGATTTGGAAGAAACGCGATCGGCGGTCGCGACGGGCGTTTCTACGTAGTCACTGACCCAAGAGATGACAATGCGGTTAATCCTAGACCGGGGACATTACGTCACGCCGTCATCCAGGACCGACCACTGTGGATCGTTTTCAAACGCGATATGGTGATTCAGCTGAAACAGGAGCTGATTGTTAACAGCTTCAAAACGATCGACGGACGAGGCGCGAACGTTCACATCGCTAACGGAGGTTGCATCACGATTCAGTTTGTGACGAACGTGATCGTTCACGGATTGCATATTCATGACTGCAAACCGACCGGTAACGCTTTGGTTAGAAGCTCAGAAACGCATTTTGGGTGGAGGACGATGGCGGATGGTGACGCCATTTCGATATTTGGATCAAGTCATGTATGGATTGATCATAATTCGTTGTCTCATTGCGCCGATGGGCTCGTGGACGCAGTCATGGGTTCGACCGCGATTACTATCTCTAACAACCACATGACTCACCACAACGAGGTTATCTTGCTCGGACACAGTGATTCTTACATGAGGGACAAAGCTATGCAAGTGACCATTGCTTATAACCACTTTGGAGTCGGACTTATTCAAAGAATGCCAAGGTATATATAAAAAAACAGAGTATAAAAACAGAGTATGAGTATGCTCTGTTATTGTGTTCTGTTTTACTGAAGCACTCTGTTTCTTTGTTCTGTTTTCTAAACAATGCGATTAAATTTTCTTGTAGGTGTCGACACGGATATTTCCATGTGGTGAACAACGACTACACTCACTGGGAAATGTACGCGATCGGTGGAAGCGCAGGACCCACAATCAACAGTCAAGGAAACCGCTACGCCGCCCCAAAAAATCCCTTTGCCAAAGAGGTAATAGCTCAGTCTAAAACAGTTAAACCAAAACCTGATTTTGCGCATATAGAATGATTTTGTGAAATTTGTGATGTTTGAATGTTTTTGATAGGTGACGAAGAGAGTGGAGACACCGAAGAGTCATTGGAAAGGATGGAACTGGAGATCAGAAGGAGATTTGCTTCAGAACGGTGCTTTCTTCACTTCTTCAGGTGCCGCCGCGTCTGGTAGCTACGCACGTGCCTCTAGCCTCGCCGCTAAATCTTCTTCGTTGGTCGGAACCATTACTTCTGACGCCGGAGCTCTGCCTTGTCGCAGAGGACGTCAATGTTCCTCATAGTTGTTTTTGATCTCCTCTCACCACCATTTCCACCAAAATTCAAAACCATCTTCCCTTATATTCAGACAAAAGTGTACATTTTCACACATTTGTCATTTAAAAAGCCAATTATCTTATTTGTTTTCTTTTCTTTGGTGTGTTCGTTTGTGTCGATTTTTCTCAACCTCGGGTTCACTTGCTTCAACCGCAAGTTAACACAAGAAAAGGGGAAAAAAACAACCTTTCATGTAAAAGAGAAACTCCCGAAGTGTTGTTGGTTCTGTCTGATCCCGACTCAGCTTGTTCTTCCGTCTCTGTCATCTGCCCAGAAAAAAAAAACAAGAATATTATGTCTTGTTCTTCTTTATTTTGTACTTTTGAGGTTTATAATTTGATATAGCGTCTATATGTGATTTGTGAATCTTTCTACTTTTCTTTGTGTATTTTTTCTTAGCTTTATTTTTCCATATGGTTGTAAGCCGTAACTCGTCATGATTGTACATTTTAGCCATTGAAGCAAGCAAGAAAACAGTAATCAGGGGTTAATTTACAAGGAGAGCCATAATCATTCACAGAGACAAAATTCTACATATGAGAGAGAAATATACAGAGCTCATGTACACATAGCAATGCGAGAGACAAAAAGATTCAAGACACAAAAAGCCATTTACCTCAAGTGATTCAAAAACAAGTAGTGTCATCTTCTATATCTTCACTACATATGTAATCTACAACAAAAACACTTGTTTTTTTTTTTATATGAAATTTCAAATTTATTGATCAAAGTGGAAATTTACAAAAGAATTTCACCTTCTGCAGGAACAAGAACCGGAAGACGTTGTACTACTTGTGAACTCCTGCTCTTCTCCGGTCAAGCACATGTTTCAGAGAATGGTGTGCTCATATAAGGTGCACTTTGACAGTGTTAGACGGTGTTGATGGCTATTGATGCCTTAATAATGAGGCTATGGCAATTGTTGATACATATGCTTCATTCCATTACTTGGGTGGGTTCTCAAGTTCTTCATAGAGAGACAAAACTTGTTGGATTTGTTTATACAACAGATGCAGGGGTCGTCAAGTTGGAGTGCCAATTCTTTCTCCTAGGAGCATCTTCTCAAAACTTCCTTATGATCAAGAGGACATCTTCAACAACACATAGACCACAAAACACTATTTTCTGAAAGCAATGCTTTAAATCTCTACATCCAAAGATATTTGCAACCACATATACAATATGTTCCTCCTTGAATTCATTTTCTCCCTTGTTCCCACATGTAATGCCAACTTCATATATTTTTTGAACAATATTTACACTCATGAAATTTTGGGTTATGATTTGTTAAAATATTGAATTTGTTAGGTTGAAATTTATGATTTCAAACAAATTAAAAAAATGAACTAAAATTAAAAAATCATAACCCAATATTTCAATCACATAGATAGATTGAAATCCAATGTAGATCAGCTTACGTGGGTTGCTGTTTTGATTCAGATTCAAATTTAGTTAGAGATATCATTAATCTGGTTCCATCGGTTACCATAAAATAGCAAATATGTGATGAATAACCCTTATTAAGACATACAAAATATGTATATAGTAGTCACTAATCGCCGCCAAGAATCTTGTTTTTGATTATATCGGTAGCATTTTTGGCGGTGCCGAAAACTCCAGATACAGATCCTTTTGCCTTTTCCGTCGTCTCGGTAACTTTGTCCGTCACGTCTTTTGTCATCTTAGTCACCTAATCGAACAAATCAATCAAATATAAATGTTATAAGCACTATATCACGATTATAAATGTAACTTTATCCCTCACATCTTTTTTCATCTTAGTCACCTCATCGAACAAATCAATAATATAAATGTTATATGTAGATAATCACGATAATTTAGTGTGAGTTAGTTAAATACGCGGTTAGCTGTAGTGGAAGCGACATTTTGGATATACTCGGTGGTTTCCTTCACTTGCTTCGCTCCTTCTTTCACTGCCTCTGCTGCTTCTTTCACTTTTTCGCATTGCTCTGCCTCTTCCTTTCCCTTTTTTTTCATTTACCATAACCAGTTATAATATTTTAAAACAATAAAAGTACATATACATTATCTAACAACCTACAATATTAAAATTATAACTAGTTATGGTAAATGAAACAATCAAAGTTTATCCAGCCCCCCATTGGTTCTTACTTGTAAGGGCCTTGGTGTTGCTGAAACGAAAGCCCTGCAGAGCGGAAAACTCCTTGCCGTTTTCCCACTATAGATCAGAACTTCAGCCAGTTTTGATGAAAGCATCAACGAATGCATCGTAACTTTTGTAGAAAACACTAAACAAGTATGAGGTTATAGAAACGTTGGATAGAATAAATCCCTCACAATCCTAAGACGCAAATTCTAGCTGAAAGGTTTATTTATATATGATTATTCCTTCCATCGCGATCTCAGTTTTGATCGTCCATTTTATATATACGGTTTTTATTTTTCTTATTTCTTATTATAAATGAAAGTCTCAGATTTGTCCGGTGATGAGTATTTTTAGGGTTCTCTGTGGTTTGTGTTTATTATAAGACCCAATTATCTCAAACCCCAATTGTTCGGCTATAGACTTGGTCTTCGTTATTTCTTCTTTACTTATTATCAATTTTGACTGTCTAACGTATATGAATTGTTTAATTAATGATTATGATATAACCAGATTTGTTTTAATTTTCAACTTCGAATTAAGGATTAATATAGTTTTCGTCTTCTTTTATGGTTTGGTTTATATTACCCCGCTTGGTGTAGTGCCTGATGAAGTCACTAGCCTTACTTAATTCAAACAAAAATAAAGATGAACCTACATTTCACATTCGACCAATCAATTTCCAGTCGTACAGTTGTATATCATCAGACAGCCTTTACTGATGGAAAAAATGTTATAAATTTTGTTCATAGCAAAATTTATGACTCTCAACTGTCACCAACCTTACATTTTGCTATATAAACCCTAGGTAACTCGCTATAAACCTCAACAGCAAACGAGACGACCATTAGAATTTACAAAAAAAGAGAGGAGAGAAGAGTTAGAGAGAGAGAGAGATGTCGAGAATTTTGTCTCTCGTTTGTGTCTTGCTCGCTATTTCAGTCGTCCATGCACGTGCTCGTCTCGTGCCGGGTACGTCTGATGAGGGCAAGACGACGACACGTGAAGATACAACAACTATGATCATGCATGCAAATGCACCTGGACAGTCACCACCAGCCAGCGTCGGCGACAAAAAATGCATCGGAGGAGTCGCGGGAGTCGGTGGATTCGCCGGAGTTGGTGGTTACGCCGGCGTGGGAGGTCTAGGAATACCACTCATCGGCGGTCTTGGCGGCATCGGTAAATACGGTGGCATAGGTGGTGCAGCTGGAATCGGTGGCTTCCACGGTCTAGGGGGTGGTGTCGGTGGAGTCGGAGGTGGTTTAGGCGGTGGTATCGGTAAAGTAGGTGGGATTGGCGGTCTAGGTGGTTTAGGCGGTGGTATTGGCAAAGCAGGTGGAATTGGCGGTCTAGGCGGTGCCGGAGGTGGTTTAGGTGGAGTCGGTGGTGGTATTGGTAAGGCAGGTGGAATTGGTGGTGTTGGTGGTGTCGGAGGTGGACACGGCCTGGTCGGTGGGATCGATCCACATCCTTAGTGAAGGGGCGATATGAAGCATTAGTAGAGAGTTTGATTAGGTTTTGATTAAGGAATAATTTTATTAGTTTCGGATGTTATTGTTGGTTTCTTTGGATGATCATTAGGGTGACTTTTGATCTATTTTCTAGTTTGGGTTTTTTGTAACGTTTGGTTCGATTTCGGCTGTCGTGTTATGTAATGCTCTCTATGCTTTAATGCTTGATCATCACTTATGGTTCAATTTGGTTGATGAGATTCTCTCCTTTCCTAGTTTTGCATGTTCAAAAAAAAAAAAAAAAAAAAACTATAAAGGCTCTAACGAAATTTGTTCCAATGAATTTTGTTTGAACTTTACATTGATGTTTAAAGTCTCTGCATGCACATGAGAATATACAATTATATATATAAAAAAACAATGTTTCTATGGTAAAACATCGTTTTAATATAAAAGACGAAAACAGTTTAAAACATCCCTCACGGATTAAAGTAAAGTAACACTACATTTTCAAAGTTTTTTTTTTTTGACTAAAAGGCTTTCTTACATTTTCAAAGTTGTATAAAAGAAAATGTATTACTTTCCCGATGATCACCGACGATCACAGGAATGCTTAAGCTTTACGTGCATATGTTTCGTGTGAATATATTCGCTAGCTCAAGAACGGACCAGCTCCACAACGTCTTATCTTATACATTCTTTTGTGTGCAAAACTTTAAGACGATATCTTAAGTATTGACCGTGTTGTATAATTAACGATCCTATTTACTACGTCTTTTGTTGTTGTTGTTTTTTTTTGTTTTGTTTGCAAAAACCAAAATCGCATGGCTAATTCAATTGATTATTTAAAGGCATGGTGCATAGTTGGAATTTCCTTTGCAGATTTGATACTATTTTTGTTCCAAAAATATATTAAGTGGGGTGGGGGGAAGAGGAAGACAGCAAGAATCCACAAAATGCATGTAAGCAATAATAAATGACGTAATAATTGCGTTGGGATGAGAATGACAAAATTTAATGAAGATACGATTTGCATGTCAAACACTTGTTGTGCCATTTCGTGCATTGTCCTGTCTATAGTCGTCTGTTTCCACTGGCCCAAACTTAAATTACCATCTCATGCAATTTATTACGACGGAATAGCATCACGTATATGTATTTACTTATATGTCATTCTTTCTTTTAGTAAAATCACAGTTTCTGATTTTATACGGTGTATGATTCTCAAAAAAAAAAAATTGACAAAAAAAATCGAATTTTTGGTTTTAGAAAAGTTATAAAAGTATGGAAATATTGTGAATGATTTGATCCGGGCTTCAGTTTGGAAAAATGGGTATTAATCATGAGAACCCGAATTAAAAATCGTTAAGAGTGTAAAATGTAAATGGGTATTAATCGTTAGATCCAATTAAATTTATTACGGACGAGAAAAGAAAGAAAACAAGTTTAATGAAACAATCATATAACATATGTTCATGATAAGTTAATTTCACATTGCCATAAAACCGAGAAAGATAAGAAGAAAAGGTCAGATGAAATGGATGTTGCACTCTGATGAGAGTCTGGGGAGAGCCAGCAGTTTAGCTCGCAAGAACTTGTTGTTGTCTGCTGCAGCAACACCAACTTTCACAGTTTGAAGACATTGGAGCTTGCCCAAGAAATGTCTCATCTGTTTCAGCTCTTGAAAAGAACCTCCATACCCTGAAATCACTAGCATCTTCACTTGACATGTCCGTAAACAGCATATCTCCTCTTCCGGCATCACAATCTTCCTCTGCTTCTTAGGGATGCAAGCGCATGCATCTCCGCATCTGTCTGTTACTCTGTGCACAAGTCCCTGAAACCGGAGACCAATTTTGTAATGGGCAACACACTAACAACAAGAAGAAGGAAAAAGAAAGAGTCTGAGTAAATAATAATAGTAATAATACCTGGATGACTAAAGTGTGGAGATTGGGACATCTCCTGAGCAAAAGTGGCATTACTTGCCAACCTTTTTTCTTGTGGCTCTCGACAGATAAATTAACGAGGTTTCGGAACACCGGCGTGGATTTGCAACAGAAATGAAATGTCTGATACACATAAGACATAACCATATATAAGCTTGTGACACCAAAAAAAGATCACTTATACCTATGAAAGAAGAAGAAGAAGAAAGCAGACCTCAAGGGAATCAGGAGAAAGGTGAAGGGTCGTAATGTTGCTTATACCCGCGACTATACCTGTAGCATCGCCAAAGATAACAGGCTTTGGTTTTTTATGGGCAAAGGTCCTAATCTGGTAGTCGTCATCATAATCATCATCATCAGAATCACAATAATCATAATCGGTAGTTGGCACCCATAGCCTGATACTCAGCCTGGCTTCGACAAGCGAATCAAAACCAGTAAACTCATGGCTTCCGAAGACGTAAGTGGAATAGTCAAGGTACAAAAGACTTGGTGTATCGAAACACATGCAGTCGTGTTCCTCTTTAGAAGCCGGAAGATCGACAAGAACCACGAGTCGCTTGACGGACACACTATACACAGCCTCACCGCAGCACGGCGGATACCGATGACCAGCATCGGTTATGAAAACTCTTCCAGGGCAGGGCAGCCATCGATGAGCCAACAGTATTGGTCATACTCAAACGAAACTGATAAGAGAGAAGGGTGATTTGAGCGCTGGGAGAAACACATGCTCGGCTTCAAGAGAAATTTCACCGGTTAGTGTGAGCTTCACCAGTGTGTTGCTCCTCAACAGCTTTGACTTGATACAAATACCAGAAGAGAGGAGCTTCCAGGTGTAGTTCCAACACACCGGATTCCATTGCAGTCCGAACCCAGCGGTTGACACAATTGTTCGCCCACATATATCCTATACCCGCCAGTCTTCTCTCAGGTATATGATACAGATAGAGTTTCTTGATCATGGGAATATTGCTTATCAGAGCACATGTTTTGTCCACGAACCCTCTCGCTGCTTCTTCTTCGCTGGGGTACGAAAAAACCACATCGTCATCAAAACTAAGCTCGTCTACAAGACCCACCAGATTCCTCCACCTCTTGGACAGAATCGATGTCGAAGCACCCACTTTTGTCGGAAGTAAAGACAGGATTTTTCCCAGAATCTCAGTAGGCAAATTGCTTATTGAATCTCTACAACCCACCATACCCAATTAATCTAAAACTTACGACGTCAGAGGATCGACAATATCTCTGCTTTGCTTTTCTAGACCATGGAATCTGAGAGATACAAGACAAGCGAACGAAACACACCAAACAATTCAAGGTTTTACATATTTCGACTTCCGGTCTGAATCCTTAATCGGAAATTCTACTTTTGGTTTTCTTTAATTTAGTCCGTTTTTGGCTCGGTTCTAGTCAAAATTTCAGTTGAACCGGTTGACCAATAAGTGAACTTTCACAATTTTGCAATCACCACAGAGCTGCAATGGCTTCTCGACGCAGAGGTTTACTCTTCAGTCCTTTAATCTCAGCTTCCAGTGGCAAAAGGTTGTGGGAAGACAATCATCAGGATATGATTCTGTCTCTCAAAACCCTTATGATTAATGTGTCTTCATCTCTCATTTGCAACACCATTGGCTTCTTTTGTTCTTGTTTGTGAAAAGAGCTGCCCTGTTAAACATTTTCAGAAAGCAATCGCGGTTGGTGAAAGGTTCGGGAAATGCAGGCTCAGTTAATCCAGGAGGATTTAAAGAAAGATGAGGAGCAAATAGCATTGCTCGAGAAAGATAAAAGTACAGCCATAAATGATCTTAAAGAATCAGAGAAACTCGCAGAAGAGGCGAATGAGAAACTCAGAGAGGCGTTGGCAGCTCAGAACTAGCTCAAGAGAGTTTTCAGGTCGAGAAATTCCGAGCTGTTCAACGAAGGGAGAGTTTCTACTCAACCAGCAAAACCCGTCTCCAGAATCTTTACTCCACATATCAAACCAGAAGCCACTGCTGTTGCCTTTGCAGCATCTAGAAATTTTTGAGAATTATCACCTGTATAATTCTTCTTTTGGATGACCACACAAACTCTCGTGTTGATTTGTTAATACATGCCAAATGAGGAAATGACCAAATACAAAACTTATTAAAAGAAATGAAAAATAAGCGGTCTTGCGCGTTCGCCCTAATTTCGTTTTTCTCTCTCAAGTCTAGCGCCGCTTCCCTTTTTTCAGATCTGGAGATCGGTGGCCGGTGGCTTCCAAAGCACAGTCGCCGGTCTCTCCTTTCTTTCTTCCTTCTTTCTCCCTCTCTTCTCCTCCGTCGCTCTGCTCGTGGAGGTTGTTTATTTGGCTTTTGCTTTGGCTTCGCCTCTGGGCTCTATCGTTTGTTTGTGCAGTCGCGGCGGACCGGTCGGCCGATCTCTCGTGGTCCGGCTCAATAGAGCGACGGAGCGGTTCTGCCGATTCACCACAGAGCTCTGTTTGGCTGGTCGCTCCCTCCGGTGTTCTAGTTCACGAGTTTGGGTTTTAGCTTTCGAGGGTTTTGGTGCTTCTACTGCTCTCCGATCCATCTGCAGTTCTTTGGCCTTGATTTCGGGACGCTATTGTGAAAAGTTATTGCTGTGGAGGTATCTGCTAGGCTTTCTCTCCTTTTGGGATTGGGTTCTTTGACGATGCAGCGGTTTCGATCTTCAAGTCTTCTCTTGCGAGGAGGTGGGAGTCTCTGTTCTGTAGGTCGCAGAGGCTGGTATTCACAGTGTCCGTGTGTAAGAGTTGTTGATCTTCTTGGCGTTTTTCCCAGGTGGCTTTCTTTTCCTGCGGGTTTTGGAGCTTTTGTTGTTGTGCTGGTCTTTTTCTGCTTTTCTTCAGTTGGCAGTAGTTTCTAGTCTTGCGGTTGGTGAGATCCTCTGTTCTTTGTTTGCGCTTGTGGTGCGCTTGTTTCGGCAGTTTGTTTACTGCTTTGGGCTTGGAGTATTGGTTTGGGTGTACTCAAGCTTCCTTGGTCAGTTTTGGGGATCATTAATCTTCAGGTCCAGATTTAGCACCTCTCTCTCTATCTAAGTTCCCTTCTCGTTTAATTATCGTCTTGCCTCCCTTGTTTGGGCTTGTGTCTCCTAATTTATTTAGGCTAATGTTTCCCTTTGTGGGATTTGCTCCGGGGATTTCTCTTTGTTCCGCCGGCCTTGTAACTCTTGTTTGGTTTCTTCCTTCGTTGTAAGGTTAATAAATCTTTAGATGAAAAAAAAAGAAATGAAAAATAAGCTTATTTATTGAAATAATCATATCATATATTCATGTTAAGTTAATTTCACATTGCCATCAAACTGAGAAAGATAAGAAGAAAAGGTCAGATGAACTGGATGTTGCACTCTGATGAGAGTCTGGGGAGAGCCAGCAGTTTAGCTCGCAAGAACTTGTTGTTGTTGTCTGCGTCAAGACCAACTTTCACAGTTTGAAGATATTCCAGCTTTCCCAAGAAATGACTCATCTGTTTCAGCTCTTGAAAAGAACCTCCATACCCTGAAATCACTAGCATCTTCACTTGACATGTCCGTAAACAGCACATCTCCTCTTCCGGCATCACAAGTTTCCTCTGCTTCTTAGGGATGCAAGCGCATGCATCTCCGCATCTGTCTGTTACTCTATGCACAAGTCCCTGAAACCGGAGACCAACTTCGTAATGAGCAACACACTAACAACAACAAGAAGAAGAAAATAAAGAGTCTCTCATTAATTAATAATAATAATAATACCTGGATGACTAAAGTGTGGAGATTGGGACATCTCCTCAGCAAAAGTGGCATTACTTGCCAACCTTTCTCCTTGTGACTCTCGACAGATAAGTTAACGAGGTTTCGGAACACCGGCAGGGATTTGCAACAGAAGTGAAATGTCTGATACACATAAGACATAACCATATATCAGCTTGTGACAACAAAAAAAAACGATCACTTATAAAAGAAGAAGAAAGAAGAAAACAGACCTCAAGGGAATCAGGAGAAAGGTGAAGGGTCGTAATGTTGCTTATACCCGCGACTATACCTGTAACATCGCCAAAGATAACAGGCTTTGGTTTTTTATGGGGAATGGTCGTAATCTGGTAGTCGTCATCATAATCATCATCATCATCATCATCAACATCGCCATTATCATCGTCAGAATCAGAATAATCATAATCGGTAGTTGGCCCCCATAACCTGAGACTCAGCCTGGCTTCAACAAGCGAATCAAAACCAGTAAACACATGGTTTCCGAAGACGTAAGTGGAATAGTCAAGGTACAAAAGACTTGGTGTATCGAAACACATCAAGTCGTGATGCTGTTGAATATCCGGAAGATGGACAAGAACCACAAGTCGCTTGACGGAAGCACTTTGCACGCCGGCACCGCAGCACGGCGGATACCAATGATCAGCATCGGTTATGAACAACTCTTCCAGGGCAGGGCAGCCATCGAGGAGCCAACAGTATTGGTCATACTCAAACGAAACTGATAAGAGAGAGAGTGATTTAAGCGCTGGGAGAAACACACGCTCGGCTTCAAGAGAAATTTCACCGGTTAGTGTGAGCTTCACCAGTGTGTTGCTCCTCAACAGCTTTGACTTGATACAAATACCAGAAGAGAGGAGAGCTTCCAGGTGCAGCTCCAACACACCGGATTCCATTGCAGTCCGAACCCAACGGTTGACACAATTGTACGTCCACTCAGATTCGTTACCCTCCAAACTTCTCTCAGGTACATGACACAGAGAGGGTTTCTTGATCATGGGGATATTGCTTATCAGAGCACATGTTTTGTCCACGTACCCTCTCCTCGCTTCTTCTTCGCTGGGGTACGAAAATTTCACATCGTCATCAAAACTAAGCTCGTCTACAAGACCCAGCAGATTCCTCCACCTCTTGGACAGAATCGATGTCGAAGCACCCACTTTTGTCGGAAGTAAAGACAGGATTTTTCCCAGAATCTCATCAGGCAAATTGCTTATTGAATCTCTACAACGCACCATTCCCAATCAATCAATCAATCTAGGGGCTTCAATTCTACCTACTCAAAATCAAAGTTGATCCTTTGAAGCGAAAAACTTTCGGCTAAACAAAAAGTTTACAACTTACGATGTCAGAGGATCGAAATTTCTCCTCTTTGCTTTTCTAGACAATACAAGAGAACGAAAATTCAAGGTTTTCCATTTTTCGACTTCCTGTCTGAATCCTCAATCGGAAATTCTCCTTTTAGTTTTCTTTAATTTAGTCCGTTTTGGCTCGGTTCTAGTCAAAATATCAATTGAACCGGTTGACCAATAAGTTCGAAATTTAAGAGAAACCGAGCGGCTTGTAAAGCCCAATTAAGTCCAACGGGCCTTTAAAATTGCTGAATATTAAACTTGGAAAGCGAAAGCAACTAGGCCTGAGATATTTACAATAGCCAAAAATGTAAAGAGCGGGAAGCTAATTAAGAAGTTAGAGCCATTTCTTTATTTTCCACACTGAAAACAAAATTCCAGAATCCAGAGAGAGAGAGAGAGAGAGAAAGTGAGAGCGAGCGAGTGAGGGACAGGGAGGGAGATGGAGAACAATGCGATGAGGATACTGGAAGAGATCAAATCTTCTGATGTAAGCTTCTCCTTGTTTCCAGCTTTGACTGATTTTTCTAGGTTTATGTAAAATTTCCCAGCTTAAATCTTCTGATTGTTTCGCACCATTATTTTTTTTGTTGCTGGGGAATTTTCAATCGCTTCCGGTAGTAAATTATACAATTTCTCTATGTTCAATCACGAAAAATTATCCGTTTGTCCATCTTTCCGATTCATTTTCTAGATTCGCAAAAATCCGATTGATTGACGTTCCTCGTTGATTTTCCGTTCGACTAAGTATCTTGTATCTCTGCATTTGAAAGTCTGGACTCTGAATTGACTTTCCCCAGCTTAAATCTGTTATCAGCTTAGTCATTTTTTTCTTCTTCTCATATATAAAGTTCACTTGAGACTTGCTATAGTATTGATTCCGAATCACTCGAAAGAGTTGCAAATTTCATTATCTCATAAGTCTAACGAGCTTCACTTGATTCATTGCTCAGCTTATCGAGAACAGGGTTCAACTACTCACGCGGCTCGCTCAGTTAGATATTGAAGAGACTTCTGATGTGCCCTCTTTTGTGGACAGCCTAACAGTATCCTTTCCTTACATACTTTTATGCTCTCTACTATGCTAAGTTGCAATAGCTGTCAAACTTTGTTTAGATATCCACTCTATCTGCGTGCCATTGTTGGTTTCAGGGGAAATATTGTGAGAATAGTAAAAATTAGGATAATGATGTGAACACTCTAGAGATAAAGCTTTACTACTATGCTTCACTTGAATTAAGATAGTTGGGCATGGTTTAACTGGTCTGTTCTAGCAAGTTTCAAGTATTCCTTGACTGCAGTATTAGACACTCTGGGAAGACTTCACATGCCTTGACGTTTCCCAGTGTTTGCTGAACAAGGCAATTCTGCCTGTGGCTTCAAAATACCTTGCTTTGGATCGGCCTGACTGCTCTCACTACTTTCTTGCTTTTGGCATTAAGGTACAATGTTTTCAGTTTTGGTGCTTATTGTTGAATTGAATCTCAGCTTGAGGAGGGAGAGTGTTGTTGTACTATCGTCTGTTTCTCTATTACTTGTAGGTAAGCCAATGGTGTGCAAAACATCTAAACATGTCTGTAATGTCCATGGAGGAGTCTCAAGAGGAAGAACATTCAAACGTTTTCTTTCAGGTTGGTGATGTTTGACGTTTCTGTAGCTACATATCCCTCTGAGCTACTGGTTATTAGCCAACTGAGTTTTTCAATCAATGTTATGCAGCTTCTCTTGGATTATCTTCGCTTTTCTGCCTCAAGCTATACTGCTATTGGAAAAATATGTTTCATGAGTGATGAGGCCTCAGCTGTTACAGTTCATAAGTTTGTTTCAGAGCAGCTGAATTTGATGAAGGAGGTGATATTGCAATGCCAAGGTATATTCGGAATTCATCTTAATCTTTCACCAGTAGTTATTTATTTGTACTGAACCATACTGTCATGAAACTGGTTATTTAACATATGCTTTATTGAAATTAAGCATTACTACTGTAGGCTGAGATTTGTGTTTTTGCATTGTTCTCATCTGTTAATTGCTTTCACCTTTAATTTGAGACAGAAAGTTGAATCCTTTTCCACGGAGATTTTAAAGGCTGTGCAAGCGGTGATTGACTCTATTGTTCGTCTGTGCAAAGACTACTCCCCAGCAGTGAATCAGTGGATAAATGATAAGAAGACTAATGGAAATGAAGGAATAGCTAGAATGGAGCAAGGCAACAACACTGTGTGTAATTTGGTGAGCTTAATCACGCTGGGAGTTAAATCTCTGAGTGAATTGGGTATGCTTGCTGCAAGAGATGGTGGCAATCTTGTGACCATTCTGAATACATCATGGAAGGGTGTGATTACATTGCTTCAGATAGACAAGCAGATGGTCTCTGAGGTAGATATTGGAGAAATCATTTTAAAGCTAATATCACTGATCAAGGAGTCTCTGAGATTTGCTGCTGAGGCTTGGTCTTGCTCAGGGAAGGAAAACGTATCTGCAACAGAAGCTAGAAGGGTCTTTCTTCCTGTGAAATTTTATCTTATCAATGCTGTTAAAGTTGTGGCGCTGTTTCCAAGCCAGGCGTCTTTGGTGTTCAAAGAAATAGCACTCTGCGTCTTGATGATCTCTGCTTTCAAAGTTTATTGAGCCAACAATCCCATGGCAAATCCGCCGGTGAAGTTATGACTGATCTTCTAGAGAAAACAACAGTAGATCTTCTAAGTGCACTGTTGAACTCAGGTGAAACAACAGAAGAATTCAGGCTCACACTTCTTGATTCGTTGTTTGTTGATGCACAGTGTTTCATCTCAAACCATGTTAGTAAGAAACAGATCCATGATTCTCAGGCAAAAACAACATTGGTGGATATCTTGTCTTTATCTGTTGAATCTGCGACAAGTGCAAGAGTCTTGCTCCTGGCCCGAGTTGTATTGTTTCAGTCTGTCATGAGGTATTCTTCTGAGCTTGAAGAAGATGCAAAGTTAGCAGTCACCACAAAGCTGCAATGGCTTCTCGACGTATTAATAGACGCAGAGGTTTACTCTTCAGTCCTTTCCTCTCAGCTTCCAGTGGCAGATGGTTCTGGGAAGACAATAATCTGGGAATCGATGTTTTCAGTTCTGATTCTATCTCTCAAGACCCTTATGATTAATCTGTCGTCATCTCCTGCCTGGGAAGAGCTTGAAACATTCTTACTCCAGAATCTCTTGCATCCGCATTTCTTATGTTGGCAGATAATTATGGAACTTTGGTGCTTCTGGGTGCGTCATGCCACTGAAGATTTGGTGGCTGATATGATTGACAAACTTTGTACATTCATCATGTCAATGTCATCATCAGAAACGCCGCTTTGTCCTGATTCTGTTCTCAGAAGAACTACGAAGTCCATCTGCTTTCTTCTTACTCACAGCCACAAATCTTTAACAGCTCGAGTCTACAAAAACATTTCCACAGAGAGCAGATCTGAATCTGCACCAGATGCATATCTAGCCTTGCTGTTAGAGGGCTTTCCACTGAATTTTCTTACAGACAGAATCAAAAACGACGCAAAGAAACAGATCGTTGCAGATTTCTTCCACTTCATTGAGAATTTCAATGAGAAACCATCAAATTCATCCAGATACACTGTGTTAGGAGCTCCTGTTTTTGCACTCTCTGCTTGCCTTCGGATACTGTAAGTAACTTCGTTATCTATTCTTTACACTTGCCTAGATAAGAGAATCAGATATTAGTGTAGATCATATTGCACGTTATCGATTGACTTTTGTTGTTGTTCTTTGTAGAGACATGAGCATATCAGAGATTGACTCCAAAACTCTGAAGTTTGTCGTCGATCTCATTCACAAGTACAAGAACTCCAAAGATGAAGCGACAAGGGATCGTTACAGAGAGATTCTCAGCGAAACACTGTCAATCATCTCAAGAAGCGAGCAGCTATACACTTGCCAAGAGATGGATAGTGTCATAACAGAGCTTCAAAAGCTATTCATTTCAGAAACTGGTCATCGTCATCATCATCTCCATAAATCGAAGCCAAACCTCGCTCTCTTCTTGTCAGGACTTATCAAATACGAGATGTCTGAAACCGAGACCTGTCCAAAGAGCCGCGCGGTCTGGGAACTATACCATTTGCTTCTCAGGGAACGCCACTGGGCTTTGGTACACCACGCGGTTACTGCGTTTGGGTATTTCTGTGCACGTACGAGCTGTTCTCAGCTGTGGAGATTCGTACCTGAAGATGCGGCTCTGGCCTTCGATAGAGCTTCAGGAAAAGAAGCGAAAACAGAGCGGTTCATGTCGGAACTAAAGATGTTCTTGGAGAAAGAAGGAGCGCTTCTCTCGCTTACACCTTCACAAGAGGAACTCGAGTTACTTGCGGAAGAAGGCACGGAGGTTAATGCAACAGTGCAGAAGTTTCTAGAAGGAAGAAACCAGCAGAGATCGATGGAAGCAGAGAAACGACCGAACAAGAGAAGGAAACTTCCAGAAGGTATTTGCAGAGGAGTGGAGCTGTTGCAGAACGGAATGAAGAGGATCAACGAGGGTTTAAGCGAGTTGAGATCAGATGAAAACGAGAGTGAAGATTTTCAGAAGAGTCTACAGAATCAGTTTTCGTGTCTTGAAGATTTGGTGTCTCATTTGGTAAGCCTCGCTGCTTCGGACTAAGGTCAGCTTTTTTTGAGAGATCAAGATATTGTTATTGGACTATAAAAGCTGACGGTTATAGGACTGAATGTTTACCACGGAAGTTCAAGTAATATTTGATATTATCGTGATGAATCATATGGAATATATAAGAAAGTTTTTTTTATGACAACTTGTTGCAGAAAGAGTACTTACGTCCTTAACATTAAGTAATACTACCAACAAAGAAACGAAGCCATGGATCCCTGGTGGTGAGTTCCCATGGCTTTATTTGAGAAATCTCAAATCCATTGAAAGAGAATAAATGCGATTCTCCATATTTAGATTTAAACAGGTTGTTTGTTATTTGAGAAAAAAGAAACAAAATCGGATTAACCTGAGAGGTATAAACTCTAAATTATTCATAAACTCTAAATTATTCGTTAAGAGGATCAACGAGGGTGTAAGTGAGTTGAGATCAGATGAAAACGAGAGTGAAGATTTTCAAAAGAGTCTATCTACTGAACCAGTTTCCGTGTCTTGAATATTTGGTGTCTCATTTAGTAAGCCTCGCTAAATCGGACTAAGGCCATTTATTTTATTAAAAAAGGTTAATTAAAAAAATAGATTAACATTTTGAAGCTGGAAGGAATCCAACTCAGGACAACCAAGCGGAAAACCAATAGAAAAGACAGACGTCTACACAACCACTGGCCTACAAAGACTTTTCTGAATAGGGTGCCGAATTTTATATTTAAACCAGTCGATTTGGTTTGAATTTTAAGAATACTGTTACTCTGTTATTTGATAATTTTACCAAGAAAAATTCTGTCCTAACAATTTAAAATAGTAAAAAGAAACGGGTTGTCATTTTTCAAAAATGCTTTTTTGAAATTTTTTGGAAATATACTCTTTGATGAGTTTTTGATTTGAAAAGTCAATTCATACCCACCTTTACACCAACAAAAAGATGAATAATTTACAAATCAAAAGGCAATTAAACCAAAAAATAATTATTATTGTTTGTTTCATAAAAAAACTTGTCACTCAAGCAATTAAACAGAGAAGAGTTCTTTGTCTTTTCTACTCAAGTAGAAAATTTGCAGAAGATTTTTTGTGAAATAAGAAACACACCTCCATAACCATAACTATGATAATTATTGCGCCAAATGTAATGGACTGGAAGGGATGTCACATGACGTCAAATAAAACCAAGATAATTGTTGCGCCAAAAGTTTGTAGTAATTTAGATAATGAATTGAAAATTTTCATAAATGTGCACGAAATATTTTCACGACTATTCACATTGCAGCTTTAAGTTACTTGAACCAACTCTATGACATTGCCAATATTGTTCCTTCAAACCACATCATAGAATCTCGTGTTTGGTGTTTGTTGGCGGTGATAATTCCCTTGCTCTTGTCACCGTTCTTATGTTGTTCTTCATGACGGACAGCGAGAAGCTTCTCCACACCAAGAGTGGTATCAAACGAAGTCTTCTATTTGGTGTTGCTTTTAGTACAATGACCTATGTAGCCTTCGCTACCGCAAATGCCCTAATCCGATCAAAGTTTCCATCCATTATCTTCTTTGGTGAGATGACAATTTTATCGGCTGGTGTTTGTTGGCGCTGATCTTTCCCCAAGCTGCTCTCCAATGTGTGGTTGTTTCTTGCGCTCTCATTCTCCTTTTTCAAATTGGATTGAATGGTCACTTTGCCAGAGAAAGAGAATCGAACAATGAGCTGAGAGATGAGAATGTGAGAATCTGGTGCATGATCTAGTCAAAGACGTGCTAACCTTGGTATGGAAGTTATGCATAAACGTAATGCTCACAACTTCCCTCTAGACCTAGCTGCTGTCGAGGCTCCATCTACAAATAGATAATTTTTAGCGTTAGTTTGGATATAGTTTAGCAAAAAATGAGCAATATAAGCCTATCTTTAAATTCAAAAGAAGGCAGACTTTGCAATGCATGAATTGATTCCGATTCACTCCAAGGAGTTGCAAATTTCCTGAAATCATACTGTTTCCCAAGTGTTTATTTTTCTTCATTCATACAAATTACAAAAGAAGGAGCGCTTCTCTCGATTACAATTTCACAAGAGGAACTCGAGTTACTTGCGGAAGAAGGCATGGAGGTTAGTGTAACAGTGCAGAAGCTTCTACAAGGAAGCAACCAGTAGAGAAACGACTGAACAAGAGAAGGGTATTTGCATAGGAGTGGAGCTGCTGCGGAACGGGATGAAGAGGATCAACGAGGGTTTAAGTGAGTTGAGATCAGATGAAAACGAGAGTGAAGATTTTCAAAAGAGTCTACTGAAACAGTTTTCGTGTCTTTAAGATTTGGTGTCTCATTTGGTATGCCTTGGTGCTTCGGACTAAGATATTCTCTTAATCCTCTAGAGTTTCGTCGTACATCGTCATGCTATAAAAAAATGAATGCTATTGAATAGTATCAGAAATCTCAAATCCATTAAAAGAGAAGTAAATGCGACATTCTTCATATTTAAATTGAAACAAGTTGTGTGTTATCTGAGAAGGGAAACAAAACAAGATCAAGCTGAGAGATAAACTCTGAATTATTTGTTACCCTCTTGGATGTCCAAAATGAGAGAAGGATCTTGCTTCCACACAATATGATCGTAAGAAAACGCTTTTGCCAAACAAGAAACCAACTGCTCATGGATGACTTCTTCAGACGGAAGCAGAGTATCTGTCTCTCTTCTCAAAGACGTAACTCCTTTATCAGCAATCCCACAAGGCACAATGTGCTCAAAATACTTCAAATCAGGATCTATGTTAAAGGCCAAACCGTGACAAGTGATCCCAGAGGATATACGAACACCGATAGCACCGATCTTCCTATCCCCGACCCAAACCCCAGTCTCACATTTGTTTCCTGCTCGAGCTTTCACACCGTAAACCGAAGCAAACTCAATCATTGACCGCTCCAGTGACTCTACATAGCTCCTAGCACCAATACCGATGCTGCGTAAGGAGATGATGGGGTATAGGATGGCTTGATGAGGGCCATGGAAAGTGATGTCTCCTCCTCTCTGAGTGTAATGAAGCTCAGCTCCAATTTTGGTGAGCTCGGATTCAGGGATGAGAAGATTGTGATCCGTTCTACGTTTCCCGAGCGTGTAAGTTGGTGGATGCTGAAGCGAGAGGAGTGTATCTGGGATCCGGTTAGCTTTTCTCTCGGAGACCAGCCTCTCTTGAAGTTTAAGGGATTTCAAATAGTTGACAGTGCCTAGCTTCCACACCTCCAAGGTTCTTGGGGATCTCATCTCCTGCACATCATCACAGATAGTTCATCAAAGTAACACAGCTAAAGCTAAGAATAAAAAACCTGAGGAGCAACATGAATAGGTTCTAAGTAACAAGTCTTTGAGGCATTTCATCGAACAGTTTACATGGATGACCAAAATGATCCAGCACGTAATCTGATTACGGAACTCCTATAAACGCATCGAAATGATAATCAACTGGGTGGGATACATCGTACAAGAGTAAGCAGAGATCGATACCGTTTCGATTCTTCTCCTCCACCCACCTCAGAGTCAGAGATAATCGCTTCCTCCAGATTTTTTGTGTTTATTGATCTTCAAAATTGAACGACTTTGCACTTCTACCCCTTAAGTTTTCGATTTTCACAAAAAGTACGCCACATTTGCAATTCTAACAATTCAAACCACTCTGTTTTAAATTCATCAAAAGACGCCAAATTGATCAAAAACCACAAACTTGATTTTGTTTCTTAATTCTTATCCTTGCATATCAGAATTCATAATGATATACAAACAAGGGAAAGATTGTAAACTTTCAAAACTTAGGGGTCAAATTCGAAAGACGAAGCTAAACAATTCGACGTCAATCTTCCAATCATTTGAGTTTATCTAGATAATTGTTCATCTGCCGAATCTCGTCTTCAGACAAGCTTTTGCGAGATTGCTCAAACTTCTCCTTGTCGCACTTCAAGGCTGTTTCTTTACTCGCTCTGATGCAGCCGCTGATATCGAGCAAGTTGAAGACCACCGGACAGTTTCCGATGCTTCTGACCAACGTCATTGCCGACCAAACTTGTCTGTGTTCCTCTCTTGATGATCTTACAATGCAAAGCTTCGTGATTGGGTTCAGATATTGCACATGGAAAGATCCCAGAGATGAGCCGAGACCACACTCGCCGAAATTGACGAGGATGCTGTCTTTGATTGCTTTGGAGAGATTGAAATCAGTAAGAATAATCGGAGTTTTTTCACCGAGAAGATCCTTGTCTGGATCCAGAAAAACCTCCATCAACATGTATCTATTCTTAAATCCAACCATCTTCTTCGAATCTCGTCTCTCGTCTAGTAGAGAAGAAAACACAAACGGCGGCTGTTACAATTAGAACAATTTCAATATTTAAGTACAGCAGAATCACGTGACTGGCACAGAAAATGGGCTTGGGCCTCATCAAAGCCCAGTTTATTTAAAGTAAAAGCAAAGCAACAAAGACGAAATAATAATCTGTCCTATCTGTTTTTGTTGTTTCATTTTTGCATTTTTTTTTTCCCTCGGAATCCTTAGAAGAGCACACTCTCGTTTGGCAAAATCGAATCGGATCCAGTGATCAAAGTCAATTCGATCGAGAGATTGAGCAAAGATGACGGAGGCGATGATTAGGAAGAAGCCAGGAATGGCGAGTGTGAAGGATATGCCATTGCTTCAGGATGGTCCACCACCGGGTGGGTTCGCGCCGGTCCGGTATGCTCGTCGGATCTCCAATACGGGTCCAAGCGCCATGGCCATTTTGCTTACCGTCTCAGGGGCCTTTGTTTGGGGCATGTATCAAGTCGGCCAGGGCAACAAAATCCGCAGGTAAGAACGAGATTCAATGCCTCACTGAAATCAACTTCTGTTTTTTTTTTTCTGTTTATGTTCCTGGAATTTTAGATCGTTTTAGGTCAAACTTGTTTTGCGGAATAATTCATGTGTGTGGTGATGAAATTCGGATGAATGTTGGTGCATCCTGGTCTAGAATCGGGTAGTTTTATGTTCTTATTTCTGGATCGCTGTGGATAATAGTGGAACTCTTTATCCTTTAGAGAGATAGAGTGTGATGACCAGAAATATATATAAAAAGAAGTCTTTGTTCCACAGATGTTGAAATTTGAGCTTGGTGTTGTTAGGAATTCTCAAAAGCCCTTTTCTTTTTGTTGAACATACAAACCATTGATTTTGAATCTTGTGGTCATGTCTCTCTGGAAGTTGATCATTTTTTTGATTGCATAATTATTTTTGTGTGGCCTTTGATCTAAGTATTTCAAGTTGTCTGTTAACTGGTTCGGGCATTAGTGTTAAAGTGTAGAAGCATTCGCTTGTTTGAGGATTAAATGTTTCTTTTCATGATATTATTCACTCTGCCTGATGAATGCTGATTCCGTGGCTTGTCGAATTACTGATTTGTGTTCCATGGCGTTTATATAGTTGAAGCTTAATAATTTGAGATCTTGTCTCTCTAGAACGGATACGTAGGAACTTACAACCCCTTTAGCTCCTATTGTTAAACTGCGATTAAGAAAGCAAGCTAGTTGCTAGTTGACAGTAGTTTGTTTGTCATTAGTGGTATATGCTTCTGTCATCACAATATTCTGCAATGGTTTTCTACCAAACAAGTAAAACTCGGGCCTCGTATTGGTTGCCATGGACGTCCTTGTGATGCTATAGATAGGTATAAAGATTGAAAGTTCTTAATAAGATTTGATTTGATGTGTAGGGCGTTGAAAGAAGAGAAATATGCTGCTCGTAGAGCAATACTTCCCATTCTTCAAGCAGAAGAAGATGAAAGGTAAACTATATCCTCTCAAAGAAGTCTTTGTTCCTGCAAACTTCAGACAGTAGTAATCTTGTTTTAACTCCGGTTTGCATTCCTTGTGTTCTAATAGGTTTGTCTCTGAGTGGAAAAAGTATTTGAATTACGAGGCTGACGTGATGAAGGATGTTCCGGGATGGAAAGTTGGTGAGAATGTGTACAATTCTGGTCGTTGGATGCCACCGGCGACTGGAGAACTCCGTCCTGATGTCTGGTGATCTCTTCTTATAGTTTCATATGATGATGATGATGAATGAATGAATGAATGAATGAATGTTTTCTTGTTTTATCTTTTTCATTGGGTAATAAGAGAAACAATGTTTCGTCTTGTATTTGTTTTGCTGGAAGATTTTTATCCGTGTTTTTGTGCAAGTGTTTCAAACTTTTTCATTGATAAAACGAGAAAACAGTTTCTCATCAGCAAGCATGTGAGAATGGTTTAGTTTCCTTCGGTTTATTAAAGTATCGGACTTGATTCATTGGTTCATGATGTGGGTGGGGCTGCTCCCAAATCTAGCGTCCAGCTGAAACCGTACCGGAAAACAAAATTAAATCAAATCACACAAGCAAAAAATTGTAGGATAAATTGAACCGGATGTAAAATGCGAGCCAAACCTTTCAGTCTGGTTTAGAATTGGGTTTCGAGTTTGGTTCCATTTAAACCGGTTAATTTTTTATTGGTCTGTGATTTTGATTTTATCATCCCAAAGGGAATCGCAGTATAAAAAGCAAAAATATCTTCTCTCTCTGCGTCTCTCTTACAGAAGTGGGCAAGCAAACATGATTACTGTCACCTCCAAGCTCGCTCTCCTTCCTCCATTCTTCTCTGTCGTTAACTCTTCTTCTTCTTCGCGTTCAAAAGGTGCTCAATTTTGTTTTTTTCTGCTACTTTCTTTCTATCTTGCACTCTCTGTTCACACATGTCTTAGATTCTTCAATTTCTCAAAATCTCCGTCTTTACAAAATCTCAGTAACCTTTTAATGGAAACGATCCCTGAAATTCATGAAAAGGGATAAAATTTTATGAATGGTTCTGAAGAATTTTGGTACTTCAAGAAATTGGAACATTTTGGTTATGTTGTCGAATGCTTCAATTGTCTTCTATGGCTGCCACTATCGAGTTTGAAGATAGAATTCTGTTTAGATTAGTACGTTTATGTCTGTTTTCCTTACAGACAGCATCGATCTTGGTCTTAATTTCTTAAATTTTATTTGTTCCTTCTCTTCTGGTCTTCAACTACAGAGCCAAAAAAGAAAGCGAAACTGAGAGAAGACTGGAGGGAAAAGTCCAAACCTATACCACCCGGAGGCACTTATCCAGCCAAAGATCATTGCAGGTTCTCTCTCTCTTTTATATTTATTTTTATACCTCCGCTAATGTTGTCTGGTTCTTATCAAAATTCTTGGTGCTTTAATGTAATGGATTTTCAGCCAATGCGGGTTATGTGACACCTACTACATTGCCCATGTGAAGGATGCATGTGCATTTCTTGGAGATGGAATGTCAAGGATTGAGGTAATGTCCATATGGCATTGAAATGGACAAGATTTAATTGATGGGCTAAGATTCTTATTGTTTGTTGTTAAATTCTAAGTTTTTGTGCAGAAGTTGGAACCTGCTGTGCATGGTAGAGGAAGGAAAGCAGATTCCTTAGAAGATACATATTTTGGGGTGCATCAGGAGCAGCTCTATGCTCGTAAGCTGAAGCCTGTTGAAGGTACACAGACTCATCCCTTCCACATTTTTTTATTGGCTCAATCTTTCAATATTATACCATCGCGGGCATCGTCGTCTAATTTTCATTCTATCTTCGGTTGCAGGAGCACAGTGGACTGGAATTGTCACAACCATAGCCATTGAGATGCTGAAATCTAACATGGTTGAGGCTGTTGTTTGTGTACAAAGGTAAAACTGCGGTTTAGTTTCTGTAATGGAGTGAAATTTATCAACAATACTATAGATTTTGCCATCTAATCAGTTACATAACTTAATGAATTAACAGTGATCCTGAAGACCGATTGTCTCCAAGACCAGTATTAGCCAGGTTTTCGACCTTCCTTATGTGGTTTATTTAAGGCCATTTTCCTCAAAATCTCCATTTTGATTGTGGATCCGTTTTCTGGTGCTACTCTGAATTTAAAGGACACCTGAAGAAGTTTTGGCGGCAAGAGGTGTCAAACCAACTCTGTCTCCTAATCTGAATACTCTTGAACTGATCGAGGTTATTTGCAGACCCTTCCTTCTTTCTTTTATGTGTTTTCTATCGCTGAGTCCATTTCGAATAAATGAATAGTTGCGTTGTAACAGACTTCTGGAGTGAAACGTCTTCTTTTTTGCGGTGTGGGTTGCCAAGTGCAAGGTATGTGGTCTCTGACATGCTTCTTTCTGGATATGTATTCTCAAGTTCCTCCATACCATGACTCATAGTGTTGTAATGCAGAGTGATTTCTTATACTGCAGCGTTGAGATCAGTGGAGCAGCATCTGAATCTTGAAAAGCTCTATGTCCTAGGCACTAATTGTGGTAACTTACTCATCCTTTCTAGATTCAAGTTCTCATATGCGTACGTCCAGAAATGCTTATCTGTGAATCAAATAGTGGACAATGGAAAAAGGGAAGGACTTGACAAGTTTCTAAAAGCAGCTAGTAAGGAGCCAGAGACTGTTCTCCATTATGAGTTTATGCAAGATTACAAGGTTACTACCAGAGTTACATTTATCTTGTTCCTAACACTTTTTAGCAATGAGCATTTGCTTCACTGGTGCTAAGCTAGTCTTGACTTCTCTTGTAGGTCCAACTTAAACACTTGGACGGACACATTGAAGAGGTATAATCACTTAAAATACTGTATTGTTTCAGCGATGTTGCAGCTTTAAGCTCCTTTTTAAATACCCTTTTTGGCTAAAACAGGTTCCCTATTTCTCTCTACCAGCAAACGATTTAGTTGATGTCATAGCTCCATCTTGTTATAGGTAATGCCATTCTTTTCCATAGAAAGCTTCGTAATTTTGTCTACTACCACTGTGACCTTCTAAAGATCCTTTTCCTTTTTCTGTTTTGCAGCTGCTTTGATTACACAAATGCATTAGCAGTGAGTGTTAATTAAAATGTCATTCCAATTAGTTTAGAAGCTTGCCAATTTCAAACGTTTTCCTTATAACTCATTCATGGTTAATATAGGATTTGGTTATCGGTTATATGGGTGTTCCCAAGTATCCAGGTGTGAACATGACTGACCATCCGCAGTATATTACAGTGAGGTCAATATTTCAACCTCCATTTTTAATATGAACCACGTAGACTCCTGAGGTTGGCTAAATTTAGTTTTGTTTATGCATAAAACCACAGGAATGAGCGAGGGAAAGAAATGCTAAGCTTAGTAGAAAACCTTTTGGAGATCTCTCCGACAATCAGCAGCGTAAGACTTCTTATAAATGTATTACTTGTTACACTTAAAGACTTTAGAGGCCAGATAACAATAACCTCGAACAAACGTATCTTTTTGTTTGCTCTTGTATCAGGGTGATCGACGACCTTTTGTGACAGAGACCGTTAAGGCAGACGATGCTGCTAAGTTTGGTATGTTTTTAAACTTATTTTTCAAACTTGTTTGTTTGTTGAATCAATGAATCATCTCTGCTTAGAGTCATATTCTTGTGTGCAAGCAATGCAAGATGCTTAACTGTAACTGTAAATATTCAATTTTCTACATTTTCTCAGGTCGAGGTCCTTCTCAGCCGGCGCCAATTTTTGTTGGAAACATTATCGCATTCATCCTAAGTTTGGTAAAATTCTCTCCTTGTAAACACAAACAGAGGAGCAACTTCATACGAAAAAAGTCTTACTTGTAATAATGTGTTGTTACTTCAGGTTGGTCCAAAGGGTCTAGAATTTGCACGGTACTCGTTGGATTATCATACCATCAGAAATTATCTGCATGTCAACCGCAAATGGGGAAAACAAAGGTAAACAATCTGAAGCACACTCCTACATATCTGAATGTTTTATATCTAACCAAAGCGGCATTATCCTCTGCAGAGCTGACACTCACATGCCTTCATATTCCAAAAAGATAGTAGAAATGTACAACAAAAACGGCCAAATAGATCAAATGCTCTCCGAGAAATGAATATTGAAGGCATTTCTCATGTAAGCTTACAAATGTTACACTCATTGTACATTGGTCCTACTGTCAACTTGTAGTTTGTGAGTAATATTCAAAACTATTTCCCTTGTGAATGTGGTAAAGAAATCGGCAAGAAGAGATGGGTCGGTTTTGTGTTTATTAACAGAGAACAAAGAAGTAGAAACAGTCTAAATCGGCGGCTGAATCCGAATCACCCATGTGGTTTCTTTTCTCCATGTCTTTAGGTTAAGGTGATGTCTGAGTAAAAGGTTGCAGGGTTTTGTGAGAGAACATGAATAACTGTTTATAAGAGGATGGGAACCAGACATTTACACAGTTGGGGCGAAGAATTAGCTTTTAATGCTTTTTTGTTTGGACCAGAGAATGAACGAACCATGCTTTAGCTTCACTCACTCACTCATCACCACAATTCACAAATATAAACTACTAGTTTCACTGTCTTGTCCTTTTGTTTGTCAATTCTCTGTTCTGCTGGTTCTATGACTTTGCCTGCAGAGTCTCAGACCTCAAAAACGAAAAACTTGATGATGCTCATAAATGCACCAGAGTTGAATTTGTTCAGCAGAGGCTCTGTCCATATACAGAGTATGTATTAGTTTTCTTTTTATATGTGGTGAAATAAAGCTACTCTGGTACCTTCAGTTATATTTGAATAGCAATTTGACAGATAGGAAACTTAATTAATCATAGAGGATATATATACATATTGCATACTTTCGGATCTGAATCCGTTTTTTACTTAAATCTTATATCATTCATATATGACTCCATTGTTTTATTGGTAGTTTGCCTGAAATCATCAGATTTATTCATGTTATGTAAAGTAAACATAAAATTTTATTAATTATTTTCATAACCGGATAAATTATCATTGTGTACAAACAAGATATATGCGGTTTTATTTATATTTTTCTGATCATCAGGTCAAAGTGCATCCCTAATGGATTTTGCATATCCTACATAAAATGCATGTTTCTTCCCTGGGATTTGAGTAATCATAATGTTTTGTATTGTTGGTCCAAGATAATCATGTCTAATCAATCATTACATGTATGATATATGGCTAATCATTCCTTAATCACGAAAACAACAGCTCTAAGCTTGTGAGAGTATTCTTCCAATAATGAAACAGCATGGTATTAGTTGTTTCTCTCATTTCTTCTTATTTTTCCTAATCAACAACAACTAATATTCATCGAGATACAAAACATAATAACATTTGTCATATTAGATTAAGCAAAACTTTTTACAGAGTTCAAAATCTAAAATGAAGAAAAATAAAATACACAGATAAAAACAAAATAAAGCATTCTCAAAACAAAAAAATGAAATGAAAAATATTTTAAAAAGCCACATCTTCCCTAAAATCAAAGAAAGAAATCCCAAAATAGTTCTACTTTTCACAGTCTGTATCTTTTTGTGTTCTTGGGGATTTTTGTTTCTTCCGAGGAGAGGGCTTGGTTATCTCATGGATACACTTTCTTGTTTGTTTCCCTAAAATTTTGTGTTCTTTTGCAAATTAGAAATGAGAGATACATCGACGATGACGAGCTGCGGCAGTTTTCTTCTGTTGCTTAGATTCTTCTTTCCAACGGTTAGCGATATCATGAGCCACACTCATCGCGTCCAGCGACGCGCCGAACAGTCCTTTTCTGGTGAACCCGACCGCATACAATCCGGCCTCTCCTTTCCATCCGTTTGGAAACGGGTTTTTTGGTATCCCATCATCGGAGAAGAAGTCATTGTCCTGTTTTTTCATTACATCCAACACCAAACAACACTTTAGTACTCACATTTAATAACGTCTTCCCTTAACTGTCGATACCAGATTTCTATATCTAACCAAAAATTCGTACCACGATTTTGTATCCTTTTCCATGAAAATATTAATGTTTTACAAAAAAACTTTTCTAAAAATTTGGGTACAGTATTTCATTAATTGCTCACATTCAAAAATCATTATGAGTCGGGATTCACCAAACTCGGACCGGGTCGGGTGGGTATTTATGTTTTTTGCTTCCGACATGTTCTAAAAATTTAAGCTAAATCTCAATCTTTAAAGAAAGAAACAGTGAAAGATGTTGTGTAAATTACCTTAAGCCAAGAAGGGACGTTGCTTCTGTAACCAGTAGCTAGAATAACGGAGTCAATCTCAAGAACACGGCCATCCACAAGCTCAACTTTTCCTTGACCGAATTTTATAATCGCCGGGACGATTTTGATCTTTCCCGACCTGATTTTGGGTAATGCTCCGACGTCAAGAACTGGCGTTTTACCTTCCTTGTTCTTTAGCTCTAACGGTCCCATTTTCGGCCTTTTTAGACCGTATTTGTCCGTATTCCCCAAAACTATCCTCGCAAGCAGGAGCAGTGTCTTGTCCGCGAGCCAAACCGGCATCCATTTCATCATCGTAACTCCTAGTTCGAAGGTTGATCTCCCAAAAATCTCCCTTGGTAACACATGAACCTGATAAATTAAAAACGAAGAAGAAAACAGAGTATCAGACGCTCTGTTTTGAAAACAGAGTAACATAAAAACAGAGTAGCAACATGTTCTGTTTTAAATAAACAGAGGAGAGTCGAACTTTTGGTACTTACAGAGCTACGAACGACCATTGATGGGTTTGCTCCATGATTGTAGAGATCGAGAGAGACTTCCATACCGGAGTTTCCGCATCCCACGACCAGAACTTTCTTCCCTTCGTACCTTCCACCGGATTTGTAGTCTCCAGCGTGAAGAACATCTCCGCCAAAGTCCTCTAGACCTTCGAAATCCGGCACAACTTTCTCCGCATTCTCTCCCGTAGCCACCACAAGCCACCTGCAGATGTACTCAAACTCGCAAGAACCGAACTGCCCGCTCTTCGAAACGGTCTTAACCCGCCACAGCCCGAACGTCTCGTCGTATTTCGCTGACTGGACCGTCTCGTTGTACTTAGGGTTGATGTCGAAGTTGGTTGCGTAGTCTTCAAGGTACTGAATAAACTGAAACTTGGTAGGATATTCAGGGTAATCCTCCGGGAAGGGGAAATTGGGTAATTGGCAAAACTGTTTAGGGAGATGGAGTTTGAGACGATCGTACGTTCTGTTTTGCCACAGAGAGGCAATACAGTTAGCTCGCTCGAGGATTATAAACGGTACTCCCTCACGTTTCAAGCCCGCAGCGACAGCTAAGCCCGATGGGCCAGCTCCAACGATGACCGGACCGTTGACCCAAATGCAGCGCCGGGAGAAAAGCTCGGCTTCCGGGATGAGGTTTTGGAACATACTCGAGATGTTTAGACCCTTCTTGTTATTAATACTTCCGTACATCTTTTACAGAGTTAACAGCTTGTTTTTGTCTGGTTCTGAGGAAATAAACCGAGAAAATTTGGAGAATGTGCGAATTCTTTTTTCAGATTTTGGAGAGTTTTTAGGACAAGATGATGGAAGTTAAGTGTATGTGTGTGTGTTTTGTTGGAATGGAGAAGAAGATGTATAAATAGAGAAGAAGACTTGAAGCAAATTGGCATATGAAACATTAGTAAATTACTGTTTTTGGAGGAGGATTGAATAATATTTTATTTTTTAAAAAAAACTTCTGAATGCTATTTAATTCTCAAATGATAAGCTCTGCAGCCCACTATTATTTGTTTATTTTTATTTTTCATATGCTCTACTTATTGTTATTAGTTTAATCCTCGTCCAACAAATACAATAATTACTCACAAGAAAGGTGGTTCAGTATTTTGCATGTCATAGAAATTACGTATACTAGATGGAGATATACACTTTCCGTTAGAAAGATAACTAACTAGCCATAGGTTTATGTTTTTCCAGCTGTAGTAAAATGTCTTCTCATTAAAAATCAGAACAAAATCTCCTTAACGAGATAATAATAATAGTTTTCGGTTATTATAAGTAAATGTCTCATGGGATATGTATATAGGAGCAAGATTACGTGGTCGGTTAAATCCCCTTCCTCCTAACAAAAGAAATTGTGGTCGGTGTAGACCGAATCGACTAATTGCTACTATCTCTTTTCACTTACCAAAATTTAAGCTTTGGTCATATATACAGTTGAAATCAGCTTATGATAGTTTATAAAATGGTTCTATAGTAGAACTTAAACACGCGAATCATATAAATTTATGCAAATACGGATCCGGTAAAAGTAAATTAGTATTTACAGTATCTAGTTTATTGAAACGACCACATTTTTATTAGTCTTAGTCTCTTAGAGATAAGTTCTTACAAAAAAAACCCTCTCATAATTACTAGATGTGGATATGCCCAAAATCTCACGTTTTCATTTTCATTTCATACTCTTTCATCACTCACCGACATTACAACCCCATCAAAACGGGACTATCAGTTAGCTTAACATAAGAATTCAAGGGCTATATAAAAGAAGAGACCTGACTTTGGATATACACTAGAGAAGAGAAAGAAAACAGGATAATTAAATTTTATGTCAGGTTGCTACCAACGTGGCAATCTATTAAGTGTAAAAAAGGAGATACATAGCCTATTTCTCTAAAATATATATATGATCGATTCAAATGAAGAGACATGACAACGCATTCTGCTACTCGATCATGTATAGACATAAACATTCAAGGTCCATTGGGACTTAGGAGTTTCTCTTTCTGCTCCTCTTTGGTCTTATTTTAGAGAAATAGGTAGCAATACGCCTTTTTTACGTTAGAAATCGTCGCAAGTGTCACTTGAAAAAAAAACTATTTATCAAAATTAAAACCTTCCTTTTACCAGGAAAATTCCATACTAACACCCAAAATAATCTCCGAAGTATGTGGAAGATCGGGTTTTCTTATCATTTAAACCATCCACAATGATTGAAACCGTAGTAGAATGACTCCAACTTTGTTCGATCTCTCAATTAATTGGATGAATTCAAGTGCCAATTGCGATAATTGTTTTAAATTGGATCAGTCCATAATGAATTCAATTGCAAGATACAACAACTAAAACTGTCTCTCTTTT